TAACATGGCCGCCCCAGCTGGCCCTGGCACCTAACATGGCTGCCTCGGTGCCTAACATGGCCGCCCTGCCTTGGCTCTGCATGCAAGGCCGCGGTGCCCCCGGCAGAGCTGGCACTGGGGAAGATCCCTCCGTGCCCAGCTCGGCGGGATCCACATGGCTGCCTGTCCCGCCACAGGCACGCTACACATGCCAGCCGCTACCAGGGATGCGCCAAGGTGGCAGGGGGATGGCCGCCCCGAACACCCCCAGCGCGGAGCCCCGAGGGAGCACCAGGCTGTGCCAAGGGCGGCCGCGGGCGAGCGGGCAGGCGGGAGGAGGCCGCCATGGCGACACTTCGCGCCCTCTCGTGGCACCCGCCTGGCACCACAGCTGCCACCCGCGTGGCCCTTTTCTCCTCGGCACAAAGGACAGGCAGGTTCCTCACAACATTGCTGGCCATTCCCGGATGAAGGACGGGGGGTCACCCCTCTCATCCCGCTGCGTTCCGGCTTGTCCCGGGCTCCGTTTTAGGTGTGGGAAATGGCCAGGGTTTCACTTCCCTGGCCAGGATTACTCCACGGGAGCTGCCGCTCCATGGACACGGAGGCACCCGGAGCGCTGCGGGACGGGCGCTCCCAGCCATGCCCCTATGCCGAGCGCCGACTGCGGAGCGCCAGTGACGGCCCTGGAGCACCCGGAGCGCTTCCTCGTCCCCTCGCCCGGGAATGTGGTCCGTCATCCGCAGGACCGGCACAGCGCGGAGCTGCCTGCTGGCGCCGGGAGCTGCCAGCCGCCTCCTGCGGCTCCGTGCGCTCCACCGAGGCCCCACTTCCCTGGTGGCCTCTGCCACCGCAAGCCGTTTCCAGCTCCGGTGACAAAGGCGTCAGCAAACACGGCTATTAATAGCGCCGGGGCAGGAACGGGCTGGCCGGGCTGGCACGGCGGCGCTGGCGCGGATAGCGGGTGCCCTCTGCTTGTTCTCACACCGCCAGGGTCATCTAATCCCTTCTTCCAAGCCCAGGTGTTTCTGGCACCCTGTCACCACGTCCCCTGCCATTTTATCCTGTTGAGATGTCCTCGCTCCCGTTCGGCACGCCAGGAAGGGCACAAAGCTGGACAGAGTGCACTGAAAGGAGGGAAAGGGAGGAAAACTGTGTGGCCGCCAGCACATTGGGAGCTGCTCGAGCGCTCGGACATCGCCGCGAAGAGAACGGACTTGGTGGCACCAAAGAGCTCACCTGGATTTCTGCAATTTGCCTGCGGGCACCTTCCAGATCTGATGCTACCCCTGTGCATGACGGATCACACTGGTCCCTGTCACTGCGATAGGGAAACTGAGGCAGAGAGGGGTCATGGCTAACCCTGGGTGAATAAGGACCAGGAGAGCACAATGTCTCTGCCCCACCTCTGTGCCAGGCAGCCCTTCACTGGGGTGTTACGTCCTCAGACCTCAGGTTTTTGGGAGTTAAATCCTGGATTCGTGACAAGAAATACTTCTTTCCAAAGGCCGTGACTACCCTGTGGAGATCCGTGCTGACAAGAGCTGAGCAGCAGCATAATTCTCCATCCAGCAGCTCTGCCTCCACGCTCTCCTCCTCCACATCCCTTATTTTAAGGCACACGCGTTGCAAAGCCTTGCGACGCCTGAGGATTTTAAAAGGGAGAAGCTTGAAAAACAGGCTGCAAAACAAAACCTCAGCCTTGCAGCAAACCAGGGACGAGGGCTCACAGCCTCGTCAGCTGTGATTGCAGCAACACCCTCCTCCTCCTCCCTTGCTGCATTGCCCCGGCCCATCTCTCCACAACCCGTCAGCTCCTTGGCCCTCGGGAGCCCATGGGTGCTCCACAGGAGCCGGTGGCTGCTCCTCAGGAGCAAGTCATGGGATCAGGGCAGCCTTTTTGTGAGCATAGGAGCCAGGGCTGGCTGCAACGCAAGGGCTGAGGCACAAACAGCCCGAGGTCGGGGCTGGCTGGACCTGCCACGACTTGCTCTGCTTTAATGAGCAGCTCCTCAGCCCTGCGGTTCAGTTTGTCCCTCCAGGCATCTAGTGGGAAAACATGGAGACGGGAAGGGCATCCCGGGCACGCGAAGCCACCAAGTCGCCCTGCCGAGGGCCACCCAGCCCTTCAACGAACACCCAAGGCAGCGATGCTGCCCTGGGGGCTGTGGACATTCCTTGGCTATATTTGGTGGCTGGTGGAGGATTTGCTGCTTTCTCTTAACCCATCTGTTCTCCTTATTGACGGGGAGGAGCCAACACTAGAGCTGCAGCCTCGTTCTTTGGATACACACAGGATTTCAGCAGCAATAAATCCTCTAAACAGCTTTTGCCGCCTCCCACCTGTTGGCAGGAAGAACAACAAGATGACAAAACTCTTCGGCACGTTTGTTTTTTTTTTTTCTCTCCAGGACTTCAGAACAAGACAAGGTTTCAATAAAAGCCTGTTCCCAAAGGAGAAAGGTAGCTGGGACCACAGCACATCTCGTCCCAACAATGACACTTTTCCTGGAGGCCCCTGGTCCCCAGGTAGCAGCTTTTGATAAGTTTCCTTGCGTTACCTTAAACCCCAAAAGTCCCTTTTTTTTGTTGTTGTCACCAGCGCCCTCTCATTCAGCAGAAACCCCAGCAAGACCCAAGCGGGGTCTGTAGACTCACAGGCTGCAACAGGGAGTGAAAATACCCCTTGTGAGAAGGGCGACAGAGGGCACCAGGTGAGGACCAACATGGTTTATTACCAATAAACACCCGTTAACAGCTCAGCTCGTTCACAGGAAAGGGAACCGTGGGGGACAGTGAGGTGACACCCACAGCAAGGGCACACAGCAGGACAGTCCCTCGGGATGGGAGATGTGCCAGGCCAGCGTTCCCGTGGGACCGCAGCGTGCCCCCAACCCCAGGGGTGCTGGACATCGCAGCTGGGCACACAGGGAAGTCCTGGAGCAGCAAATCCATGTCAGTGACAGCGACAGGGGAGGAAGAGGACAGAGGAGGAGGAGGAGGAGAAAAGCATGAAACCACGTGGTTAAAAACACAACGGGGCAGATCCTCCCCATGCAGCTGGGACCGGGAGGTGGATTGGGACCATTATCCCCAGCCCTGTGTCTTCCGACGAGCCCCCTTGCCCTGGCAGCAGGAGGACCCCGAGCAGAGAGTTTGGATTTTTCAGCCTCACGCCCAGAGGCACCTCCAGCGTGAGCCTAGAGAGAAGCTGGGTGCACCAGCTCCCTGCACGTCCCAGGCACCACCGTGCCCACGGCCGTGCCTCGCATGCCACCCCCAGCTCAGCACCTGGTCTCCTGCGGACATTCCTGCCATTCCCAGGCCTGCTCAGTCGGGATTTCCTCCGGGCTCTCCAACGCCTTCTCCCAGGCTGGCTCTGCGCAGCCCATCTGCGAGCTGAGCTCGGCAGGACTTCCAGGATGGGATCTGCAGGAAACACCTTGGAAATGTTTACAGGCCAGGCCTTTATCCCACCCGGATCTGCCAAAAAGGGCGTAGAAACAGCTTGAATCCCTATATCTGGAGTTTGCATTAACAAAAAAAGACCTTTTTATGGAAGTGAATATTAATAGATGCATCACTGTAATATTCATTTCTTTCAAGGCTTTTTTTGTTCGCATCTTAGACCTTCCTCTGACATGTTTGTCACCCAAACGTGACAAATAACCATCTGTCAGAGTGAAACGATTCGAGGGAAAGTGCAATTTGCTCTTCAGTGCTAGGGCAAGGCTTAGTGCAATAGGAAAACTTCTCCAAAGTCACAGGAGATATCATTAACTTGCTTATATATCTGCCAAAACGGCCACGATTTAAGCTCTAGCCTTGCTCTCAGAAAAGGTTGAGCTATTTTAGCTGAAATCGCCCTGCAAATTGGAGCAGGGCACAGAGACATCCCCAAGAAAACTTCAGCCCATGCAGTTTGCACTTGGCAAAGCTGGAAGCAACTGAAAACCACATCCAAAAACACCGGGCATCCTTCATGCCTATCACTTATATTACTTAGAAGAACACAAGAAATCATTCAAGAAAAATATACATATCTACATCTCCTGAGAGCGTCCTTCGGGACAAGGCTTTGTGCAAGGTCAGGGTAACTCTCATACGGATTTTGGAGCAGTTGATTTCTCCTCCTGTTTTTAAATCAGGAATTTGGTTCTTTCTCACAGTGTCACAGAGCAGAAGCACTCGCGGGTTTAAGAAGCCGAGGAGAAAAAGATTATCAGCTCCCATGGGCTCAGCTTATAGAAGAAAAAATTCCTTTACAGCGAATTTGAGCCTGAGGAGGGTTAATTAGATTTATCCGGTGGGCTTCAAATGCTGCCCCTGATATATGTGGGGCTGCTTTTAACTTCAGTCAAATACTAGGCATGTTTTTGAGGACCCTGGAAGGCACACACAAGGGCTGGGCTTTGGCTGCTTTACCGAGATATTTAAGTGCTCACTGTTCTAACTGTCAAACTCAGCTTTAAAACCCAGGCCAATAATAAATTGGCCCAAAGCAGTAAGCAGGCTTTTTTTTATTTAAAAAAAAAAAAAGTGCTTATTTCTATTTTTCCAAATTTCAGTGCGTGAAGGGAAAGTTGCTGCACTGGCAAATCTTGGTGGGAGAACAAAGATTTTTTTGGTTGGGGAGCAGGGGCTGGGTCTTGCAGGAGGTTCCCTCTAAGGGAACACTGTTATGGCTTGAATGTGAGCAAAGGAGACAGTTTCAAAGCTGCAAGGAGGTTTGGAGCGCATGCAACCTTCCAGTTCTACAGTTCAAATCCGACTTTATATCCAGTTCAAATCCAGGGAATGGGGCAGCGAGGAGCACCGGGCCAGCAGGACGAGACCTGAGCGTTGCAAAGAATATACGGGCAAGAAGCTGCCGCGTGCTGCCCGCCTCGTCGCTGTGCCCGGCACGAGGCTCCAGGAAAGAGCCCCGCGCTCGCCAGGGCAGGCGCACCGCGAGTGGCCTCGGTGCGTGGTGGCCGCGGCCACGTCCTCGCCGGGTGTCACCCCGCGCCCGGGCGGCTCCGCTACTTGCTGTTGGGGGTTGGCTTCTCCCGCGCCGCCCGCTTGTGCTTCTGCGCCACGCCGTAGGGCACGTGGGCGGCCACGGTGCCCATGGCCTTGGCTCCCTCCACGTGGAACATCTGGTCGTCGAAGAAGATGTGCGGGCGGATCTTCCTCAGGAGCGGGCCCTTGGGAGCGCCGGCCAGGAATAAAGCCTCGTCCGTCTCCAAGCCCCAGCTGCGGAGAGTCTTTAGGGCTCGGGCTCCCGAGCTCGCCGCGCTCCTGGCAGTGACCAGGTAGGTGCGAATAGGACACTCCATCCTCAAGCCCTTGGAGTAGAACTTCTTCTGCAGCTTCCCCAGGGCCTCCAGGAAGCCCTTCAGGGGTCCCTGCCAAAGGGAGAGGAAACCATCAAGCCAGAAATGTCCTCCCCTCCACCCAGAGCAGAGCCCCGGCTGGTTCCCGGGGATGGAGGCTCCTTTGGGCTGTCTCCCACCCAACAACTCGCTGGTCACCCCATACCAGGGACCCTCAGCCCTACCTGGGCCAGAGGCTTGTTCTCATGAGCCTTTTCATGCTCAAAGAACATGTCCAGGCCGTGAGCCTTCACGATTTGCTCCGATTCATCCGAGAAGAGCACGGCGTCGCCATCGAACGCCACCCGCAGCTGGCTGTCCGACACCTCCAGGTCCTTACTGGGGCTGAAGATGGTGGCCGCAGCGATCCCTGGGGAGACAAAGTGCAAGGCGAGAGGTGGCAGTTATCCCAGGGCCTGGCTTTGGGGGTCATCTGCGGAGGAGCAGAGCAAGGCTTGGAAGCAGACAGAGCAAGGAAATGCATATAAGAGCATCTGCAGCTTGGTCTCGAAGGATGTGGTGGCCCAGAGATCTCTTATGGCAAAAGAAGTTCCTAAACGAGAGAACCCATTTTGAATACAAGAGTTAAGAGGGGAAAGCAGGGCCTCTGCCTTAAGGAAAGTTATTTCCATGCAAACTAGAGACTGCGGAGCGTCGAGGATGCCCCACCTGCAGAACAGCTATTGCTCCTCTCACCAACCCCCTGCGGGCTCTGGGCTCTCCCCTGGGCCCCCCAAAGCTGGACCCTGGACTCACCCTCTTCAATGGCCCCACTCACTTTCTCAGCATCAGAGGAGAGGTAGAGGTTGGTGTGGTAGGCCTTGAGGTAACAGATGGGGCTGTTCCCTCCCGTCATGCAGAACCTCTCGATGAACAGATCTGCGGGCAGAGGGATGCTGGAGTGAACCTCACCACCCCCAAAAGGGCCTAGATGGCTCTTCCTTGTGGTCTCCCAAGAGCCAGCAGCAGATGGGGGCCAGCTTTGGTACCATCCTCCACTCAAAGCCCAGAAGGATCTGGGGAAGCCACCAGCGAGTGGTTTGATGGAAGACGTGGCCATCTCCACACCTCATTGCCAAGCAGTGGCCTAAAAGCCAGCGGCTCCCGCTCAAAGGACGGGGCTTGCTCTGAGCTTACCATAGTGGTTGATGCTGTTGATCAAGCGAACCCCAACCTGGGCATGGTTGTTGGTCATGAGGACGATGTCAAAGAGCTCCTCGCTGTCGGGGTAGAGCTCGCGCAGCTGTGTGTTCACGGCCTCCAGCGCCTGCAGCACCCAAGGGCGAAGGAGGGTCACTGAGGACCAGACCCCACGCACAACCCCCACCAAGCGAAAAACACCAGAACGCATCAAAACCAGAGATCTGGCCCAACCTCAGCTATACCCGAGCTTTGCTGACGTCAGCAAACAGCTTTAGCTGGGAAAAAGAGAGCGATTTGGGGAGAAAAATAAACCTCCAACCACTCTATTTTCAAACACAACAAGTTCCAAGTTTTCATTAGAAGATAAGGCTAAATTAGCTTGAAGTTGCATATATTTTTTTTTCCAGCAAATCACTCCATTCTCTCCCCAAGTGAATTTGTTTATTTATGGGTAATAGGCGAGCGAGCCCTTCAGCAAGGGCCAGCAGAGGAGAGCGAGCCAGATGTGGTGGAGCTGGGGCAGCAGTTGGAAAGCGCTTGCAAAATCCAAAACATTTCAACACGCCAAAATTAGAAGCCGTCTGGCTGTGTAGCAAGACCAAAAAAAAAGGGGGGAAAAATATTGGCTGAATTTTTTAAAAAGACGAAGATGAAGAATTCCCTAAAGAGAGACTTCAAATATGATTCAAAGCGACTTTTCCTTCTTCTCCAAGTCTTGTGCCCTTTGGAGAAGCCAGTGTTTCCTCGGTGCTGGCGCACACCCCTTGCCAGAAGGTCTATCCGTGGTTACCTCACTTGCCCCCGCGGCTCCTTTCCCATCGTTTCCCCACCCAAGGGCTTCACGGTAGCCACCCTCGCCAAGGGCTTTGGGCTGCAGATACCTGCCACCGAGCAGGTGGGACATGCGCAAGCACCCGCAGATGTCCCGCCTTGTCCCGTGTCCCCCTCACCTTGACGAAGGGGAAGGCGGCGCCGGGGAGGAAGGGCTCGTTCTCGTGCTCCAGCTGGTACCTCACGTAGGCCTCCACGCCCTGCTCCTCGTAGATCTTCTGCTCCTCCTCCATGCGGAAAAGCGCCCGCGACGACACCGCGATGGTGATGGCGTTCTCGGGCTTCGGCTGCCGGGCACGGGCGCAAGGTCAGGGCACAGCAACGGGCCGGGACGGTGGCACCGTGGCCTCGTGCCCGCGGTCCATGCCGGGAGAACCGCCCGCGCTCCCTGTGCTCCCCAGCAGCATCCGAGTCAGCCCCCGGCCCGAGCGTGTCCCCACGCTGAGGGGTGGCCTTGGGCGTCTTGCCTGGCCATGGGCACCCGCTGCAGCTCCCGCTGGCGCCACCGAGGCCAGGCCGTGCGGAGATGCAGCACGGCACGGGTGGCACTGCCTGCGCGTCCACCGCGCACCATCCTGGCACCTCGGGGACCCTTTCCCTGCTGCTTGGCCCTTGCGGAGGGCTCCGAGACCCATCCCAACGCAAGGGGAGCCGTTCACCCCCGCGCAGGGGGTTAATGGGGCTCAGCCAGCTCCCGTGACGCGGTCCACACGTGACAACCAGCCGGCGCCAGCGCCGCTTTCCAAACACCCGACAGCGCTGCCGCGGGCGCAGCACGACAGACAGGTGGTGCGGGCGCCGATTTATGAGTCATTATTATTAACACGAGGGCTTGATCCGGATCTGCCCGAGTCAACAAGGGGCCTCGAGTGGGACTTGGCAGCAAGAGCGGGGACACCAGAAAAGCCAGGCCCAGCCTGAGCCCCCGGCACTCTCTCCTCGGAGGGCAGAGGGGTGTTAATCCCTATCACTCAGTGCAGGCACAAAAACAAGCTCATTAGTGGTGCCCAGCAAGATGCACCCAGGACAGCAAATGCAAACAAGGGGACTGTGGTGGCAGCAGCGCTGTCCCAAGCTGCCAGGTCCTTGGGAGAGTCCCAGGCAGCAGGGTGAGAGGGTTCGCCCGGGAGATGATTCCCAGGATAACCACATGCATTCCGGAGCTCAAGGCGGGATCAAAGCCGCTCTGGGCCCGTCCTAGGGGATGAGCAAGGCGGAGGTGTCCCCGGGGAGCCCTGCTGCTGCCCGCGGGGTGGGCCGTGACCTGAAGCACCGCGGGGCTCGGCAGAGGGTGCGACTGCAGGGAGCCTGGGAAAGATCCCGGCCGGGAGCGATTGGGAATTCCTGTGCACTCCGCGATTTCCAGGGCCCGTCCCGCACCGACCGCCCACTGACCCACGCGCAGCCCATTTGCAGCAAGGTGGGAGGACGTCCTTGCCGGGCCACTCCACACACCCTGGCCCTGCAAAGCCCAAGCTCCCACCTCAAGCTGGGCTTTACAAATGGGGCCGCCTGGCAAGGCCGAGCTGGAGGAGCTTCTCTGCCCGCAGGACTGGGCTTGCTCTGCCCGTCCTGCCCAGCACGGCGCACCCAGCCATGAGTCAGCGGCACCCATTGCCTTCCCAGCACCCCGGTTCCTTGGCCCCAGATGCCTCCAAGGCTACACGGGTACCTGAAACCCACAGCAAGCAAATAAAGCAGAGGGGGACTGGGCTAGATGCAGGTTAGCTCAGGCCGGGAACGTCCCTGTGCCCAGAGGGATCCCACTGCACGGGTGGAGGAATAGGAGCCCATTTCCAACTGGCTCTTTCAAAAAGAGGTGTGTGACCCGCAGGACACCCAGTCATTTAGATGCCTGCAGAAACGGGAGAGCAGCGGGGACCGCAGCGCGGCTCCAGTGAGTGAATCACAGCCAGGTTCCCAGCTGAAGACCACGGAGTTTTAGCTATTAACTTGTCATGGGTCATATCTTCCCTCTAGCTCATTAATTAATAACTCCGGTGTCGTGGGCCATTTATTAACTGGAAATATTAACAGCTATTAAAGCTCTCGACACGTCTGGCCGTTGGCCTTTAGCGAGGAACCCAGCTGTTTTGCACAGCTCCCAGCTCGCTGCACATGCGAGTTATTTATCCTGCAAGCAGGAGAGCTTCCATTCCCACCTCCCGATCCCACCGGGAAGCGCATCCTGCATGGCCAGCCACGCAAGAGGCTCCCGAAACGAGGTCGGCATCACGCAGGGGCCGTGAGGCTCCTCACCGCCCGCCCAGCCCGAGTTTGCATCGCTCTTTGCATTGCACGGCCGCGCACCAGGAGCACGGGCACCCTGTGCAACACTAACAGGCTGCTCAAGGTCCCTGCCCTGCCGTTTGAAGCCTCCAGGAGGTTCATTTAAGAGGTAATAAATGCAGCAATAAAAATAACCATAATATAATAAAAATAGCCATAAGCTCGGGGCCCAACCGTGCCTCTGCGTGGGCTGCTGCAGCCCCAAGCACCCTGCAGCCAGGAAGCCTGGCCGCTGGCAAGGAGACTTATTGGATCCTGTTTGCTCCTGCCAGGGCGGATTTGCACCATCGGAGCATTTGCTGCAGGAGAGTCTCACCCGGGTGTAAATTCAGCTCATGGCTCCAGCTGGGCTGGAACAGCCCTTCAGTCCTCTGGGAAGCGCTGACGTTTAAGAAATAAGGCAATTCTGCCCTGGAAGGAGAGAGCCTCATTTGGACATCTCTTTGAAGTGGAGGTTTCATTTAGGAGCCTGTTTGGATGCTTTTTCATCCCTGCTATTACCGCACATGATCATTCCTGCGCTGAAAAATCAGCTTTAAAAGCCACAGCCCTATGGGAACCACAAAACCTCAGTTCCCCCATGAAAAGGCTGCAAGCAGGTCCACAGCTCCCAGTCGCAGGTCCATAGCTCCCAGTTTGCCTGTGAAACATCCCAGCTTTGGGAAGGAGAGGCCAGCTCTATCAGAAAGCAGGAGTCCTGCTCCCAGGGATGGGGCAGCACTGCTCCCTGCTGCACACACGGCAAGCTCAGCCTTTACAGGCACGATTTGTCAAGTTGGGCCGTTGAGCACAGCTTTACACAATATTGTAAATATTCCCCCGCGGCAGCGCAGCAGCTGCAGGCTCGAGTTTGGGAAGCGCTCAGCGCTGCCGCTCCCCTGCTTCTCCGCAGGAAAAGGACCAGGTAATAACGGATGGGATTATTTATCTAGCGGCGCCTTGTCCTGCAAGCGCCCGTGGGGGTGCCCAGGTGCAGCCTCCGCTCCGACCCCCCGACCCAAATGATGCTCCGGCCCCAGGGCCAAGGTCGGTAAGATCAGTTAGAGCTCGGCACCGAGCCGAGCCCGGGAAACCACCACAGGGATCTGCTCCGCGGAGTCTCCAGCCCCTGGGATGGTGCTGGGTGCAGTTCCCTGCTGTCTCCCACCAGGAGGCAGGTCCTGCGGGATGCCTGGAGTCACATTCAATGCAGTAGGACCCGCATTCCCACCGGAATTGCCTCCGGCACCGAGCATGGATGAGGTGTCCACCCAAGAGATGGCCAAGCTGAATGTCTTCTGTCCACCAAGAGGAAACACCAGCCCTGGGCTGCAGGATCCAGCACAGCCAAGCCCCATTCCCAAAAGCATCGCGACCTTCCTAGCAGAGCAGGGCTCCATAAAGCGCGAGGCTCATCCCAGAGCCGAGCACCCCAGATGCCGGCAGTGCCTGGAAGTGGTGCCTTGTCCTCCACACATCCAACAGCTGGCCGGCTTTTAGATCAGCCCTGTAATCGGATCTAGTCCCTAAGCAGCCCCAGCACCCAGGATTAGGGGCAGGCATTTGGACGTGCTGCATGAGACACCCATGAGGGGTGCCCAGCAAGGGTGCCCTGCTGTCCATGCCCACATGGAGACATCTCTGAGCATGCACCGGGAGGAGATCCTGCTCAGGTGTATTTGCCCACGATCCCATAATATCCATGGGCAGTGGTGGGTTAAGACGGCATCTGGAAAAGCTGGATCACCTTTGAGGAGCCCCGGGTCAGCAGCAGCTCCCGATGTCACCTCTGCAGGGCTTCACTAGCTGGAGGACCACAGTGGACACCCCGTCCGCATCCACCAAACCAGCAGCCACTTCTGCACTGCTCGGGGCTCAATCTGTCAGATTGACCTTGATGTTCAGAACACCGCTTGCAGCTCTGAGGGTTTCCCTGGATGTCACCAAAGCCAAAGTCCTTGCAGGCTTTTTAAAAATACAAACGGGAAAGCTGGACACCCAGGACACCCACAGGGCTAGGGACAAGCAGGACCCCTGGAGCAGCAGCTCCCGTTATTAACGTGGGCTCTGCACGCAGGTGGCACCACCGGAGACGCCGGGGGACATTCTGCACGTGGCTGGCGAGTGACAGGCTGCAGCACTGACCTCCCCAGCTGGCGGCACCAGGACCCAGGGCACGGGAGGAGCAGAGAGCCCGCACGGGCAGGGAGAGCTCGGCAGCTCCCGCGACCCACGGGCAGGAGCCGGACACCCGTCCCGTGTCCCATGGGACGCACACACCTGCACCAGAGGGATGTGGGCACAGCAGCCGGCTCCGCTTCCCGCACCCGGCAGCGCCGCGGGAGGCTGCGAGGGCCCTGCTCGGGACCGGATCAGGTTGCAAGGCAGGGGCTGGGATGATTGTGGTCTCTCAAAACACATTATTTATAATACGGAGAGGCGCTGCCGTCCGTCACAGGGCCTGACGGCCGCTTGGCCGAGCGGCCCAGAGGTGAGCAAGGAGCTCCAGCCTGGAGCTCGGCTTTGCCGCCGGGCTGTAGCACAAGCCCAAGCAGCCACCGTGCCGTGCCTCAGTTTCCCCACGGGCAAGAGAGATGCTCAGCCTGGACACCAAGTACAAGGTGAGGAAGAGAAGGAGCTCTGGGAATGTTGCAGGGGGTGGAAGTACAGCAGGAAAGAGGCGCATCTCATCAGCACACAGGGCAGCCCCTTCTGCCCTGCACGAAGGGGGTCTCCACACAATCTCCGGGTAAGGAAAAGCATCTGGGATGCTTGGAGCTGGGATCTGCAGCCTTAGATGTCTCTCCTTGCCACAGAGGTCACACAGGCACGGGTTTCCCTATGGAAAGGCACCCAGCACCTTGGGGCAGCAGCGTCCTGTGCCATACAGAGTCCCCGGGATCCGTCCCCAGCGGGTCGCCCGTGCAGCTATTCCGAGAGACGGCGGCACCAAGGGGCACTCGTGTTTCTAAACCCAGCCCTAACCCAGGTTAGATAACACGGGTCCTGCTCCGATCGCGGCGACACGAGGTGCACATGGCACTGGGCCGGGATTTGGCCTCCACACTGTCCCCCTGCTCTGCCCATGCGGGGGTCCCAGCCCCCAGTACAGCCTCCTGCCTTGGCATATGGGACGAGCTGCTCACAGGGCACCAAGCCACCCTGCAAGGACATCTGAGCCTGGGCGGCAGAGGGAAGCCCTGCAGAGACCAGGGGGACCCTGGGGATGTGAAAGGGAAGTGGCACCCGGAGACACCCAGAGACTTCCCCAGAAGGACATAGGGGGCTGAGGGGAGACACAGGGACATGTAGCAAGATCCTGGCACATCTAAAGGGCCTGGAAGAGAAGGGACGCGTGGGGTAGACCCCAAGGGAGCTAAAGAAGGGACACCAGCATTGAGGGAAATACAGTGGGGGAGCAGACCCTGGGGAACTGGAGCAAGACGGGGAGACCCAGAGAGACCCCAGGGACACCCAGGGGAGCTGGAGGCCATAAGACAGCTAGGGGGACCCAGAGGGAATGGGGTACCTGGAGTGATGGGGCACCCAGAGGGGACACTGGGGACAGGGGTGGGCACAAGGACCCCAAGAACCCAGCAAGGACATGGTCCCTGGGGAGCCCCGGCAGGGAGGCAGCCCGGCCCGCGGGGGCGCTCACCGATTTGGGCTTCTTCTTGGGGGCGAGGTTGTCGTAGAAAACCTTGGCCTCTTCCCAGGGCCGCTGCTCCGCCGCGGGGCCCGGCGGCTCCATCGCGCCGCGGCACCGGGAGCTCCGCGGGCACCGGGAGCTCCGGCGGCTCCGGCTCCGCGGGCACCGGGAAGCGGCACCGGGAGCACCGGCGGCTCCGGCTCCGCGGCGGGCTCCGCGGCCGCGCTTTATACGGCGGCCTCCCGTGACGCTGCGGGTTTCAGCCCCCCGAGCGGCGGCGGCTCCTTAACCGCTTCGCGGCCGAGCCCGCCCCGCCGCCCCCGGCCCCCCCGCGCCGCTCCAGGGCCGCCGCCGCCGGCGCGGGGACACCGGCGGGGACAGCGCTGCGCCCTCCTGCCGCCCCGGGCACCGCGCTCCATGGAGGGAGATGCCCGTAGTGGAGGTGGGGCGGAGACAGGAGGTGACCTGGGGACCTCACGGGGAGGACGTGGGGGGCAGGAGGTGACCAGGGGGCTCCATGGGGACACAGGACAAAAGGTGACCAGGGGACCCCATGGGGAGGACATGGGGTAAGCCGTGACCAGAGGACCCCACAGGGACAGGGGTCTTCATCTCAGCATGAGAGCCACCACGGGCCCTCTTTGCAGCTGGGGTTACCCAACCTCATGAAGCACTGTGACAGCGGAGGCTTCTGTCCAGAACCGTTGTCCCCAGCCCATCACGGTGTCTCCTGCACCGGGCACTCAGTGGGGACCCAGGGGCCCGACAGTTTGGGGGCTTGACGGGCACAGGAGCAGCCACTCGGGGAGCTGGAGGTGACAGTGGTGGCTGGTGGCACCGCGAGTTGCAGGGCGGCTCGAATGCTCAGGCCCTTCCCAGAGGAAGCTGTGCTGGGCGCTGGGTAATACAATGATTGCAGATATTAATTAGAGCTATCTGCTAAATGGTCTCCTGCGAGCACTGGTGGGACTGGATCCAGCCTCGGAACTGTGGAAGGCAGGAGGTGAATCCCGGCTTCCATGAATGCTGAGGTGCGTGGGGAGCCCCACACGAGCCCTGAAGGTCAAAACGGGCCACCAAGGAAGGGGCAAGTGACAGAGGACTCTGGTGGCCCGGGCAGCGCCTCGAGGACGGCAGCAGAGGTGCTTGTGTTTAACAGCATTTCAGCTTCCACGGAGTCTCCCTTTCCCAAAGCTCCCAAATAGGTCCCGGCACAACCGAGGCTATTCTCAGCGTCCCCTCTCAAGCTCAAGCTCTGCCCTTTTAGGCTCTGGCAGCTTTCCAGGCTCTCCCAACACGAGTGCTGTGCAGGATCCCTCCTGTGCCAGGCACCACGGAGGGGGGGCTCTTAAAAATACACAGACACGGCCACAGATTTGACTCCTTCCCATCCCGGTGCTGCAGGACACACACTTTGGATGCCCTGCATGGCCAAAGGAGACCCAGGCGCTGGGATCTCCTCTGTTGGATCCCTATTCCCGTCCTCGTGGCCGAGCAGCCAGACGTTCCTGCTGAAATGCAGAGGAGTGGTTGGAGTTGTCAGGAGCATGAGAGCTCCCTAGCAACAGCCTCGGGACTGGTGATGGAGAGAAAAGACCAGGGGAAAAAATGGGAAGGGAAAATAGGAGCAGAGAAGCGGAGCCTGAGAAGATAAGGTGCAGTGACAGCAGGTTCTGGCCATGCTGCTGCTGGGACAGCCAGGGTCTGCACAGAGCCACCAGGCTGTGACCAAGGCGGGGTGGCCGGGATCATCCTCCAGTGCAGAAATGAGAGGCGGTTCCAGCAGAGACCAGGGATCCTATCACCAGGAGATGATGTTGTTCCGTTCCCGACATTACGTGCGCAGATGAAGGCTCGGCCCCCCTCATCCTCGGCAGTACCCGGGCTAAGCCCCACTGTGCTCCCTGAAGACAGGCTTCTTCCATTGTGGGGATCCCACAGGTCTGGATCAGCTCAGGAGCCCCCTGAACAGCAGCCGCGGGACGGTAGCCCCCCATAAACCAGCCAGGAGAGCCACAGGTGGGACATACTTTATTTTCCCATTAAAAAAATATATAACACCTTCACAGTCGCCCAATAGACACAACGGCCATCAACACCACAACGTGCAGGCTACACACGGATCTGCAGTGATATTCCTGTGGGGAGCGCGGCGGGATGGAGCGGGTGGGATGGGGAGGTGCAATTCCGATTCTTGTGCCCGGTGCCCGTGTCCTTGCTCCCTTCCCAGGGGCTCCACGTGTGGCAGGGCCCATCCACACCTTTCCATGGCCTCCCGTGAGGGATGCACCCATTCCCAGAGCTGCCCCGTCCTGCGCCACGCTGGGCGGAAGCGGCTCCGCGCATCCCAACCCGGCACAGCCCACGGCACCCTGAGGAATCAGTGGCCCCTTCCCTGGTCCTAGGTGTCTTCCCATGTCCTCAGTGACCAGGAACCCACCACAGACATCCCAAATGCCACCAGGGCGGCTTAAAGCAGCAGCTGGCACAGAGGCACCGTCCCACCGAGCCGGGCGGGAGGGCTAAAGGTGGGCAGTGCCCAGGGATCGCTGGCGAGGGCAGGACATGGAGCCTTTCAGCCTCCCCGGAGGCCTCACGGGCAAGGAGGGGAAAAAGGAAAAAAAGCTGGTTCAAGCTCCTAGACTAATGGGAAGGATGGAGCCCGTGGCTCACATCCCGGGCTGAGCAAGCGGGGGCTCCAGCGGGCAGGAGAAGCAGATTCCCCACTGGATCTGGGCCACTAGGCACTGGGCAAAGCTCTGGGAAGCAGCATGTGAGCGGCAGGGATGGGAGATGGAGCAGCCGGAATAGGAACCATCATGGGGATCAGAGGTTGGATCAACCAGGCTAGCGGGGACCCCCCACCCCGGCTCTACTTCTGCATGTCGCACTGCAGGAGGAGGACGATGGAGGGATCGCTCTTCGCCGCCTCCTTGAACTCTTCCAGGGAGATCTGGTCGTCTTTGTCCTTGTCCATCTTGGTGAAGATCTTGTCAACACGCTGCTGGGGGGTCAGCCCGTCCTGGTTCATCCTCATCATGATCACGGTGCCCACCATCTTGTAGATGGCCTGTGGCGAGAGGTGCGAAGCTCCAGAGCTGGAGCATGGGCTGGGCCGAAGGCTCCAGGCCAAGGCGGGTGTGCAATTCCTACCCTTGCTGGGACCTGCCTGCACTGTGGGTCTGCACAGCTAAACCCCTACGCACTCCTGGGCTCTTAGCCAAAGTTATGGCCAGGGAAACCCATTCTAGGGTAGCAGAGAGGGCCCATACATCTTTTAACAGCCTGGAGAAAGCAGGCCACCCTTGCTGGTTTCAAGCATTGAGCTTCCAGAAGAAGCTGCAGGTCAAAGCGAGCTGCTTGGCTCCAGCCTCATCCTCGCCCGGCACCATCGGGGCTGAGCCCACTACCGTGTCCCGCGCCACCTGTACCTCAATGATCTCCAGCATCTCCAAGCGAGTGATCTTCCCGTCTCCATCCAGGTCGTACATCTCAAAGGCCCAGTTGAGTTTCTGCTCAAAGGTCCCCCTGGAGGTGACAGACAGGGCACAGATGAACTCGCGGAAGTCAATGGTGCCGTCACCGTTCTTGTCGAAGGTGCGGAAAGCGTGCTGGGCGAACTTGGAGGCGTCTCCGTAGGGGAAGAACTGCAGGGAGGAGAGAGGAGAGACATCTAAACGGGGAGGGGGAGCTCGGCGTGGCGGGTGGACATGGCGTCCTCAGTGCTGCAGGGTCCCAGGGCTGCTCCTCGGCCCGGGAGCTGGGCACAGGGCTGGGGACCCTGCTGGGGACACGGCCGGGAGCACCCCGCAGCTGGGCCCACCTTGATGTAGAGCTGCTGGAACTCCTCCAGGTTGAGGATGCCGGTGGGACAGTCCTTGAGGAAGCCCTTGTACCACTGCTTCAGCTCCTGCTCGCTGAACTCCGTGCTCCGCACCAGGTCGTCCAGCATCTCGGGCGCCAGCTTGCTGTTGTGCTTCCCCATGGCCGAGCCTGCGAGAGGAGGCACGGGGCTGGGGAGCGCCGGTGCCACCCGCCTGCTCCATGCGCCTGGCACACGCACGCGGGATGCCGGGATGCGGCATCGGCTCCGTGACACGTTCACGGCCCGCGTCGCTGGAGCAGGACAGGACGTGTCGAAGGATGTGGCAATCGCGCCGGCAGCACCAGACCCACAGCCCCCCGGCGCCGGCGGCCACCGCGCGCCCCTGGGCACGGACATCCCCGCGGCGCCGCGTGCCGGGTCCCGCGAGGCAGCCGCTGCGTAGGCAGGGCGCCAATCTGCTCCCAAGACGCTCCGTGCCGGCTCCCACACAGCCTTGGCTGCCGGCCGCTGCTCCGGCAGAGCCACAGATGGCGAGCGAAGCCCACCCTGACGCTTCTCTCCCAAGGAAGTTGAGGAGAAGTTCACCTGGAGAGCGACCAAGCAGCATCTCCGCTCCAGGTGCCCCAAGTCCCAGGCACAGGGACCTGCCGCCTTCCCCCAACTCCTGGTCTCCTCATCAGGGCACAACCCTCCCAGCACCCCGGGGCTGCTCCTCGGGCTCGTTAGCTCTACTCTTAGTTAATCCCTCTGTCAGAGGCTGCTTCCTGCTCCACCATCTGCCACCAGGCTGCTGCGGTGGGACGTCACCCACTGCCTTTGGGCAACCGGAGCCAAGGAAACCTGGAGGCACCGCAGAGAACAGGGGCTAACACCTCCCCACCGATCCCGTCCGCACCGCGGCCACCTCCAGCCAGCAGACACCCGTCCGTCCTGCCGTGCCCTGGGTAGGGTGAGGGGTGGAGGTGCTTTCCGCGTCTTCCAAAGGGTGGGATTTCTGGCCGGTGATGGTGATCCCTCCCCTGCAGGTACCGTGTCTTCCTCTGGCCCCGCTGGGGCCATGGGCCACGTTGCCCTGCACAAGGGCTGGCAAGAGGAGGCCTTTGCCAGGTGGGAACAGCAAAAAGGACCGTCTGACCAGTTCCCTCCCTGCCAGTGTTGCCTCCAACAAGATGAGGGTGTGGGAAGTTCCTCTAGTCCAAAGACCTCGATTCCTATTTCCAAGCAAGACACGGAGCCCAGAGCAGCCTAACTGGGCAGAGGACCAGATCCTGCCCTTGGGGATGATGTTGGGCCGTCCTTGAGATGAAGGCTGCAGTGCAAGGGACCCCGAGTGATGCCTCCAGCATCCGTGTGGGTCGGCCGGGTATGGGAAGAGACGGAATGGGACACAGGACCCCGGTCTTATAGGAGAGATGGGACCAGGAGGACCAAGTTTCATGGAGCCTGCACTAGGAACAAGCAGCCCCTCTCCGCACAAGGCAGGAGACCCCCTTGAGAGCACCCTGGAGCACCGGGTTCATCCCGCCGCTCCCGGAGCATCCCTGCTGGCAAGGGAAGCGGCTCCCCGTGGGACCGCTCTCACCCCGCCCGGCAGCCCCGCTCCCACGGGAATCACTTCCCGGGGCCGCCCCGCTCCCCAAGGCACCGGCTCCAGGTGGGAGCGGCTCCGGCACCGACGGCAGCTCCCGCTCCCGGGGAGGACGGGGGCGGCCCCAGGGACCCCCCCTTACCTGGAGAACGGCGTGGAGGGCAGAGCCTGGGCCAGGGAGCCGAACCGAAGCCGAACCGGAGCCGAACCGGAGCCGGAGCCGGTGCCGGGAGGGGCCGCCCCCGCCCCGCTCTGTCCCCCCCCGGCGCCGCCCCCGCCCCTCTTGTCACCGCGGGCGGCCCGCCCCTCCCGGCCGCGGAGCCCCATTGGCTGGGAGAGCTGTCAATCAGCCCGGAGGGGGCTACGGGGGGCGGGCTCGGAGTGGGGTCAGGGGACTGGGATGCTGGCACCGGGATGGGGACGTTGCCGGGAGGGTGGCGTTGGAATGGGGATGCTGGGACCAGGGTACCAGGGTGCTGTGTGGAGCTGGATGCTGGGACAGGGTGCTGGGACCGTGGGACACTGGGGTGGGCTACTGGGAGTGGGCTCTGGCAGCGGGATGTTGGGATAGGGAATGTGGGCGCAGGGGAGTCAGTGCCCCAAATGCCCCCCATTCCTGCTCCATCCTCTGCTCCTTCCCTGCCGGCGCTCAGCACCGTGTGTCACCCCATCCCAGAGGCGCTTCACAGCGCCTTCTCCTCCTCCTCCTCCTCCTCACTTTACCTGGAGTCGCCTCCCAGCCCCCGCAGCTCAACCGACCCCAAACTGCCCCAAGCCCCTGCCCTGCAGGGAGGGGGGGCTGCGGGACACCCCATTCCAAGTGTCCCAGCAAAGGATCCCAGGGCTGCCCCACTGTGGGGCCAAGGGCCGGGCTTCGCCGCTCGCTGCATGGAGGGATTGCAACAATGTGCAGAAAAACACCCCGATTTCCAGAAATAAGGGCAAAGCGTCACCATGGCAACCGCTGGGCTGCTCTTCCCGGTGACCTTGGCCATCCGGATCCCCAGCGCCGGAGCCCATCCAGCCCCCCGGCCATGCGGCAGCTGCCACCAGCGGCGCTGGGGGAAGGTCCCATCTGGCCACCAAATCCGGGCACGGGGACGGTTTGTGAAAGGACCTCAGCCCTGCGTGCGCGGCGCCTGCCCCAGGAAGCGGGGCAGAGTCTCCCCCTGCACTGAAGCAGCCCCTGACGTTTCTCACCTGATTAAGTAGAGGAGACATCAATTAGCGCCCCTGTAAAGTCACCTCCCTTGGGATGCTCCGAGGAAAAGGAAAGAAAGAGGAAAAGGAAAGAAAGAAAAGAAAGGAATGAGGGTTTAATGGAAGCAGTGCCGCCACGGAGCCCAATGAGGAGCAGGGCCCCGTGCTGTCGTGGGCTTTTCCAGGAGTGCCAGACCGGGCAGGATGGGAGGCATTGGGGGCAGCAATGTCCCCAGGTGTGTCCCCCATTTACAGCCCTTACAGTTTGGATGTTACTGAAGGGAAAGGCGGCACTGCTTCCCGAGGGGCAGCCCGGGGAGCCTTTGGCTCAAGGACAGGGGGAAAGCTGGGCACAAAGCAGGAGCTGCAAAGACCCCTGTCACCAACCTGCTGGGCACTCAGGGGCCTCTGAGGAGCAGCACCGCTGCCCCTGCACTGGCTGGGGCTGGGGCTGAGGCCGCTGCAGCTCAGCGCATGCAATGGGTGTGCATGAGCTGCACCCACTGCAGCTCAGCGCATGCAACAGGGTGCATGGGAGCAGCAGCTGCTGCAGCTCAGTGCATGCAGCGGGGTGTGTGGGAGCTGCATGGGGCAGCTGGAAAGCAGCAGGGAACGATCAGGCTGAGCACAAACGGGACATGCTGGGGACACTGGTCAGGTGGGGTGCCCAATTTTGGGGTGCCCAGCTCCAGGGTGTCCAGCTGCTCCCGGTGTGTCCTCGCTCTCGCTCCCTTCTCCAGGCTGCCGGCATGCGGAGCTGCCGGGCTTCAAGGGAGTGCTAAAGCCCGGATCTCCGGTGCCGCCGCTGCATGCGAAGGGCTGCAGCTTCCCCCAGCGGCGCCGGGCTGCAGCGACAGCTCCGAGGGGGCTGCGCCAGGCAGGGGGGCCCGGGCACCTCGGTGCCCCTGGCTCGAGCTCCCCAGGGACCTGAGTGTGGGGCTGCAGTGTCACCAAGTGCCCCCGCTTAAGGAAGGTGCCCTGCGGGGACATTGTTCCATGGGAAGGGAGACGGTCCCTGCTCTGCTACCCGTCCAGGTGCCAGCACCAATTGCAGCTCCTGGAGATGCTCAGAGCCCCGGGAAACACCAAATCGCTGCTGTTTGTCACCCCCCTTTCCCCATTCTGTGTCCCCCCCCAACAACGGGGGGCAGCTGCTACCCGTGACCAGGGTGTTGATGCACCTGGGAGCAGCCGGTCCTGCAGCACTGGGGGAACGTGAGGTTTCTGATCCTCTTCTCTGTGAACCAGCGGTGTCACCACTCCAGTGGCTAGTCACAGCAGGGGGCTTTTAGGACATGGGGTTGTTGTCCCAGGGGGAGATGGGCCCAGAAGCCAGGGAGTTCAGCCCAGAGACAGGGCTGGGGTGGGGATTGCAGATATGCAATGGATATGCAGGATATGCAGGAACCTCCCCCAGGCTCACAGGTTGTCCCTTAACCTCTTAAGGGTTAAGGTGTCCCTGAACCTCTTAATGGCATGCGCCCCGTGTCCCTATGGTGCCCCTGGCCCTGCTGACGCCCCAGTCCCCCCTCAGCCCCCTGCTGGAGCCCCCTCACTGCCTGTCCCCAGCGCCACAGAGCAGTCCCACTGAGGGGACCGTTTTGACGAAAAAAGCTTCATTTCCAGGTTCCCCCCTTCCCAGCTCCGGGGCTGCAACGAGGGTGGGGGGGTGCAGAGGGCGCCCCGCAAAATCCAAAGCAGGGGTTGCCCAGCATCCCGGCCAGATGTGGACCCTCCGCTTCCCCAGATGTGGGGTGGGAGCCCCCCAGATGTGGGGTGGGAGCCGCCCAGACGCGGCGGTGGCGGCGGGCGCGGAGCCGCGCGGGTTAAACGGCCCCGAGACGTCACGGGGGCGGCGGGGGGGGGGGTCGCGGGCGGCCCGTGCGCGCGGGGCGGCCCCTTCGCAGCCCCCCCCACGTCGCCGCCGCCGCCGCCGCCGCCGCGTCGCTCCGGTGAGAGGCGCCGGGCGCCGCGCAGAGCCGGGCGGCCCCGCGGAGGGAGCGGGGGGAAGCGGGGTGCGGGCTTGGGTGCAGGGGGGTGCATAGAGATTCTCCCCGCACGCCGGGGGTCGCCGCAGCCCCGCGGGGGTCCCGGGGAGCCCTGCGGAAAATCCGCCAGCAGCCGCAGCGCAGGGAGCCCCGGGAAGGGGAGCGGGGGGCTCCGTGTCCCCTCAAGCCGGGGAGGCAGCAAGGGGGAGATGAGGGGTCTGGGGGCTCCCGAGAGCTCCAGCCCTTCCCGGGATTACAGCGGCGCCAATGGGGCTGCGGTGACCTCGTTCCTGGGATATCATTCCCCACCCCTAGGAAAATCCATCCATCCTCCAGCACATCCATCCGTGCAGCTTCCAGGGGCTGCGGCAGCGCCGGAGCGGCCGCGGGACAGGAGAGGCTCCCAGCGGGCACAGGGGGGTCACAGAGGCAGAGGGGAGAGCAGACCCCTCCCATCCCCTCCCTGGCCTGGGGACGGTGACGGGCTGCGATGTCCCCTTGGGCTGTGGTGTCCCCTTGGGCTGCAATGTGCCCTGGTCTGTGGTGTCCCCTCACAGGGGACGCTCGGCCACACAGGGATGCTGTGGTGGCTGCAGAAGTCACAGCCTGAACCCCGCCACGGTGCCCATGGCCTCATCCCAGGGGCATCACGGGCGCTGCCTGGTGCCGGGGGAAGGATCATCCTCGGAGGGCAGAATCAGCCTGGCTGGAGCAGGAGGGGGATCCGGCCACCCCGCAGGCTCCCTCCGGCATCGGCTGCTCCGGACGGAGAGCCGGGAGATGCCCGTGAGGCACAAGAGGAGCGGTAGTGCCAGAGCAGGCCTGGGTGCACCCCGAAGCTCAGGGACACCCCTGCTGTCACTGGGAGAGGGGCCTGTCCCCCTCTCGCACGGGGCAGGCGTGAAGCCCACGGCAGGGGGTCCTGGGCTGGCAGTGGCGGGCAGAGCGGGCAGCGCTTTGGGGCTGAGCGCGGCCCCCAGGTGCCACCCTGCTGCCCCGGGGACAAAGCGACACCGCAGCCAGGGTGGCGCAGGGACCCCGGCCTCCGCGGAGCAGCCTCCACCCGGCTCCGCGCGTCCCCCGGGTGCAGGCGCCGCTGAGGAGCTTGGCGACCCGGAGTCCCTGCTCCCGCCTCTCAAGGACACTCCCCGCACGGGCGCCGAGGACGGATGCCTGGAATTTACAGGAATGCGGGAGCGGGAGCAAGTGCCCGAGCCCGGCCGCGCGGCACCGGCGTCGCTCGCACACAAGGTCCCCTCCTATGGGGTCCACTGGCAGGGCAAGGGCACAGCCGGCCGGGGACAAACAGGTGACACTCCAGAAGGATGCCCCAAAGGCCCCATCCCCACCGGTGACGGCAAATCCTGGCGGCGCTGGGCGCTGCTCTCCCGGTCACACAGGAATTCACAGGGATCAGGGCTGGCTCTGCCCGTTCCTTATCTGGTGGCAGGGAGAGCCAGGAGCAGTGTCCAGGGCCGGCTTCCAGCAGAGCAGTTCCCTGGGAAGCTTTTCATGGAGACCTCGATTCCTTCTCCGGCTCCATGCGGCTCCCGGCAGGCACTGAGCCATTTATTCCAGAGGAAACCAGGTTGTTCTCGCCGCTCCCAGAGGAGTCAGTGCCTGGATTTGGATTCTGTAACCCTCAGGATGCTCCTGTGACCCTCAGGATGCTCCTATAACCCCCAGGATGCCCCCGTGACCCTGAGGATGCTCCCAGTGCTGGCCGGGCAGGAGGAGGGCACCCATGGGCTGCATTGAGGGCAGCCCCATGCCCAGGAGGCAGCCGTTCCTGGGCACCCAGCACCGAGCAAGGGAGAGCTCTGCCTCCCCACTCCCTTTTTTAATTAAACCCAAGCACTTAATTACAGCCTGCCATTTCCCACAGGGAAGCCTGGCCCCGGGGCAGCAGCCCCTCTGTGCCGGGAGCTCCCCGTGCCCCGGGGCCTGCAGGGACTTTTCCCAATGCTGTTGGGCCACATCCTGCACCGGGACGCCCCGGGACCAGCCCTGCTCGTCCCACTGCACCTGGACACCCCTGGGAGTCACTCCCACACAGCGCTGCTGTCCCCGATGTGTGCACCTAAAGGACACGGGACAGTGTCACGGGACACCGCGGGATGCTGCAGTTGGCCCCACTGGGAACCTTGAGCCGCCCCGGAGTCCCCCGGGTCCCCGACGCTGCCGCCCTCCTGCCCACAGGTCTCTGCAGCCCATGAAGTGACTTCGGAGCCTCCACCGGCCCCGCTGCTGCCGTCGCGCCGAACACCGAGGTACAGACCCCGGCGGCAGGGACGCGATGCCCAAGCCTGCACGTGGGGGACTCACATGGCCCCATGCAGGACATCCACGGGAGCTATAGGCTTCACGGAGCGTATGGGGGTGTTCCCTATGGACAGACCCCCACAGCAGCTCCCGCTTCCCTCCCTGCCTTCAACGGAGCAGGAAGGGCCTCAGGCCCCGGCAGGGCGGCCGCGGGGACCAGGGTCCCGTCCCGGGGGACCGCAGGGGCCGGGTGTCCCTCTGTCCAAGGCAGGGACCCCGCTCCAAGCTCCTGTTTCTCTCGCTCAGCTCTGCTGGCCATGGGCAACCTGATAAAGGTACTGGGCAAAGATTTAGAAAACTGTCCTCATTTTTTCCTGGATTTTGAAAGTAAGTGCGGTGAGACGGGCGGGGGGCCGGGGTGGGCGGGAGGCGCCCGCCGCCCCGCTCAGGCTCCGCGGTGGCACCGGGACGATGCCCCCGTGGTGGCCGCTCCGCTGGTCCCGGCGCAGCTCCCGAGACAGGCGCCGCAAACCCCCCCTTATCCCATCCCGAGCCTTCCTCCTTCCCGCCACTCCTTCCTCTCCATCGCCACCATCCGCCCGCGCTCATCGCCATCGGAGAGGCTGCGGGAGCCGGGAGGGTCCCCGGCACCGCTGCCCCCGCCGGCCGCTCGCCATCCTGCTCCCGTTCCTCTCCTGTCTTCTCTTGCAGGATTCATGTGGGGAACCTTCTTAAAGTGTTGCCTTAAAGCGAGCTTGAGCAAGGCCCTAATTTTTCCCTTGGCTTGGAAAGTGAGATGGGATTTTTTCTTTGCCTTTCCGGAGTTCCGCCTCCACGCACATCTCACGCTCTCGCCCCCATCGCCTCGCGCCCATCCCAGCCCTCCCGTGTCCCGCTGCACAGGCTCCGTCCCCGCAGCCCCGGGACCCGCTCCCGGCCTCCTCCGCGGGGCCACCTGCAGCCTGGGGGGGACCCCTGGCCCCGGGGGGCTGCAGGAACAACCACAGACCAGTCCCCTCCCGCGGCTTGGCCACAGGACAAGGTTGGGACGGGGGCACCACCAGGAAGGGATAACGGGGCAGTTTGGGGGCAGAGGAGCCCGTTTTGGGCGCGCGCGGGCAGGGGGCGGCGCGGGGGGCCCCGGGGCCGTTTCCCTTGGCGGGCGCCGCCGCG